TGGTGTTTAAAATTGAGTTTTATTAATTGTAACAAAAGATTGGGCAATTAATTTAACTAAACACTTATTCATGACTTGAGAGAGCTTGTCCAAATATTTTTAGAACCCTAAGTTAGCATTTTTTTTTATTAAAAACATTTATGAGAGGATGTAATTTTAGTGCTATGAAATGCAATGGGGATAAATAATCTGAGATTCCATTTTGTGCTTAAAGTTTGTGAATTAATTGCTTTTCTTTATTTTCTAGAGTTAATTTAATTTGTTAAATCATCTTCACCTAATTATATTTTGCTCAACTTGATTATATTTGTTTAATCTTTTGCTTGATCGTCATTTTTAAACAACTCTTTGTAAGAATAATACTAGTAATACTTTATTATTCGTTACAACCTGTGCACCTGTGAAGAGCAACATTTAGGAATGCCAATTAATCATAATAATCATATTTGAAATAGAAACATTTGGACTAAAATATCCTTATAATTAATGTTTACTTTTTTCCCTCTAATTTGGTGATACTATCCATTTATGAGGGGCAATTTGAGAAAAAAATGTAATAAATGCTTCTTGAAATTTATAGTTTTGCTTATTGATAACTTATTGAAATTGATGCCAATTTAGCATATTTTTCTATACTTTCATTTACCATTTGGTTCAATTGTAAATATTTTGAGTTTAAATATAGGAAAATGGGCTTTAGTTGAATTTAGCCTTAATAATAGGATTTATTGGCAATTTTTGCAAAGAATCTTGCCTGGATTTAAACTTTGAAAGATCTTATAGTCATATATATTATTTCAGGTGACTTCTAATGGGTAATCATGACAATGGAGAGCTAAATGATGCTTGAAGATGTATTTGAAAACATAAAAGCAACCAAAATTGAGCCACAAAAGAAGATGAAGCTTTATGTATCATGTGTCATAACGCATGCACAGTACGCCTTGACATATGGCACAAAGAAAAGGGCTCTAGGAATTGCACAGGCATCATGGCATAAGGACAACAAACTGTGGCACACTTCACAATTTTGCACATGTGCTATAATGTAATGACAACGCGTTGCAAAGCATGGCTAAAATGCTATTGAGCATTTTGAGGTGTAGAACGCAAACTAGGGTTACATAAGCTCATTTCTACACCTTTAAGAAGACACACATGATTTTTAGAGGTCCTTTGAAGCTAGCTCTACTAGAATGTTGGGTTTTTAAAGGAGATTTAGCTAAGGATTGAAGATTTAAAGAGATTCAAGTGGATTTCTTTTAGTTTTTCTGCTTCCCTTCCCTTTTCTCTTTATGTTTCTGATATGGGTGCTGAACAATTTGTTATTTATTGCTCTTTTCTAAACATGAGTGGCTAGTTTATTTGTTCTAGGATTGTTTCAAACCTTTATATGGATCAAGACTTGATTAATCCTCTCTTTTGATAGCTAATGATATATGTGTTTATTTTATCCTATGTTTAATGTTTCTAAGTGTTTGGCCAGTATTTTGATTGTTGTGTTTATGTAAGTGGTGCTTGAGAAATCTAACTTAGATATAGAACTTGGATAAAATAGTATTGAACTTAAATTTTACAAAGATAAATGAATGATTTTGTTAGTAAAATAGAGATATTTTATTAACCCTTCACATTCACATTAAGATTGGTGCTTAAAAACTTGTTTTCACTAATTTTTTTTCAAGAGATTGCAAAATTTTAGTGTTGGCAAAAATATTTGATTTTGACTTGAGAAAGGTGTTTCAAATAAATTAAAATTTTAGATTAGCACTTATTTTTATTATAAATCATCTCGAGAGGAATTAATTAAAGTCTTATGAAATATAAAGAGGAGAGATAATCCTAGATTTTTTTCTCTCGAATTCGTAGTTTCAAATAATTTACTTGTTTTGAACTACTTGTTCAATCTAATTTTCATACTCTCACACAAATATCATACTTGATTTTGTTTAACATAACTCAAAGCTTAGTAGTAAATTTTTAACCCTTTTTTTTCTAAATCCTTCTGGGAACAATATCTCTAGGATGTTCTACATTTATAACAACTCGTATGCTTGTGGAAATGCTTAATGGCGAACACTTATAAATAATAATAAAGCATATGATAATTTTTCATTTAAAATGGTGATGTATGTTCTTTCCCATTTTATTTTGGTTCTGATAGGTGTTCTTTTATTGGAATAGATAATTTCGTTCGAGTCACTGTTGGGCACTAAATGTAAACACTTTTTTTAATAGGAATTTGAACCTCAATTCACCATGTTGTGAGTTATAACCACTTTCGCTAAACCCAACCTCCATTGGTTGTGTGTTGTTGTTTTTTTAACTTTATATATATATATATATATATATTCTCTTTAATTTTATTTATAAGGCACATTTTAAAAAGTCTATTTAGTTTTATTTATAAGTCATGGTGCGACTTTTAAATAATATTTAAAATATATTTTTAAAATTACCCTTTAAAAGAAAGAAAAAAGAACATAACATTATTTTTTAAATTTGTTATATAGGGGTATATTTAAAATTTTATGTACTTTTATTTTTTTATTCTTTTATATTGATATTGATAAAATTGATAAAAATAATTTATAAAAAAGATTGAGAGAGTATATGATTAGATGGCCCCAAAGTAGATTCAAGGAGGAAAAGAAAGAGTCTAAGTGTATCTTGAGATGCAAAAAACTAATCTCGAAGAAACGTAGGCATTGATGAAGCTCTAGTATATGATAGATGTACTTAATAAATAGAATAAGACGAAGTAAAATATATTCTTTATTATTGTGAAGCTAATGGAATAAAAAAATAACGAAGAAAAAAGAAATAATCTTTATGCATTTATAACAATAAAAAATAAAGTTCATTTCTTCATTCACGTAAGAGCTAAGAGTATCAAATGCTTAATATATGATCCTTACGAATTTTTAACAAAAAAATTAAAGTTACTAATAACATTGTTAAAAATATTGATCAATATAACCGTGGACAATATAATTGTTGACTAAATTTAACTTTAAATCTCTAAATTATAACTATAGCTCATAAGAGAATTTTTTAAAGCCTTTCTCTATCAGACAATTTTCAGATCAAGCGATACAAAATATTACAAACTCTAGAGTTTGAGAGGAAGTATTGTGATAAAGATTTAGTCTATTAATATATATATCTATTAAGATTTATTATGTTGAAATTCAAAAAACATTTTGCATTTGTTAGATATTATTAAAATATTCATTAATTATTCTTAGGTTTATCTATATATTGATTCAATATAGAGCCGATACTTATTCGAGTCAGGTTTGGATTGGGCTTGAAGTATCTTATTTAGATCAAGCAGGCCGATCTTATTCAGATTAGGTTTAAAGTATCTTACCATTTTAACAAAGTCTATATAATTAAGCTCGATCTTAACTTTTTTGGTCAGATTTGGGCTAGTCTATTAGGCTTGACCTGAATTACCGGCTCTGATATTGAAGCCTTTTATATGACCCTTTTTTCATGATCTTTTATGAGAGGATCATCATCTTTTCTGTAATTCTACTAACACATAATAGTTTTGAGGTTCATGCAGTGACCATAAGGCGTTTAAAATGGGTGAGGATGTATCAAGAATACCTATCATCGTACGAGCTCTACAATTATGTTATGATGACAATGCTCTTTTAATTTTATTTATAAATTATTTTTAACATATTTTATAAGTATAAAAAAAGTTTTAAATTTATTAACTTTATTTTAAAATTTAATAAGTTCTCAACTTTACTCTTATTAAATATATATATACATATATTTTAATAATATTTTTTTTCTAATATTCAATGGAGGGTAAAAAAATTTGTGATAAAAATTTAATGACATAATTTATAAATAATATTAATTTTTTTGTCCTAAAAATTGAACCAAGGGAGTAATTGAAAAGATGATAGGTTTTTGATAAAAAAATATTTTACTTTTAAAAAAATTATTTAGAGAAAATATTGCTCACCCACGTATTCTTAAGTAGAGGTGTCTAAGCCCGAAGTAGGGGAGTTCACGAGACGGGATGGGACCGGGACACTCCCATCTCATGTCCCGTCCCGAAAAAAAAAATTGGGATTGAATTTTCACTTCGTGTCCCATCCTGTCCTGAAAATCGTCCCGTTCCGTCCCGTCCCGTTAAGAGTTGGGACGGGACCGGGATAAGATCGAGACGTTCCGCCATCCCGATAAATGGAATAATATCGAAAAAAAATCTGGATAATAACGTTTATTAAAATTTTAAATTATATAATTTATTAAGTTTAAAATCAAAACAACACAAGTATATAAATAAGAATAATTTAAAATTAATTATTGAATTATATTAATCACAACTACACATTATAATAACAAATACAAGTGATATTTATGCCATAAGATTAGCAACAACAGGCAAGTCAAACATAATATCAAATCATTGTTCTTCTACTTTGGTGAAGATGCGCTAAGCTAATTACTCTTCTAAAAATAAAGCAAGAAATACGTTTTAAATAAAATTTATTAAATAGATAGATATAAGAATAAATTATATTAATTTAATTAATATATTATAAAGAAAGATATCGTCATGTTTATTTCATGCCATTAAGATTATCAATATAAAAAAACTTTAGTTTTAAATAAGAATTGTAAGTATTAAATTATAATTAATATAATTAATATAAATATAAATTATATTAATATAATTAATATATTTAAAAATAGAAAATAATATATATAATATTTGAGATGGGACGGGACGTCCCAATGATAATCCCTTGTCTCGTCTCATCTTGTCTTGAATCTTTTTACTATCTTATCTTGATTATTTTTAAGTCAGGATAAGACTATCTCAATATAATTGGGACGATATCAGATTAATCAAGATGGGCTCAGATACCCCTGACCTTAAGGCTGCTCAAACAAAAAATTTGGGAGAAAAATGGATTTCCACCCTATTTATGTGGCGTAGGTTTGCCGTTTGGCGTGTATATTACCGATTCGTACTTTTCCAGTCCTTAACTCCCACCGTTTTTGCTTTCTCTCTCTTGCGGCCTTCCTCTTCTTCTTACGAATTTCTCTCTCCTCTTCTGTCTCTTCCCCATCTGTGCTTCATCTGTGGACTCTCCAATGGACGACCCAAGTGAGTATCTCCATCTGTTCGTCGAGGACGCGGACTTCTACAACCGCATTCTGCTTGGGTCCCTCTTGCCGGACCGCTTGTGGGTCCCACTCCCTCACTTCTTCCAGACATGGCTCCGCAACTTCATTGGAGGAACCCTCCTCTACCTCATCTCTGGCTTCTTTTGGTGCTTCTACATTTATTACTGGAAGCGCGATGTTTATTTTCGTAAAGGTGAATAATATCATTGATTTCTTTGTTGCTAGCTGGGGGTCAATGCCACGATGTGAATTTCTGTTTCTCTTCTTTCTGCAGTTTAACTGTGAAAGTTTGACATATTCGAGGTTACTTTTACAATTTGGGTGCTTGTTCTTAAATCTAATTCCTGTTGTATTTGTTTACTCAGTTACTGTACAATAATACGAGTGTATTCTCTGTTTCTGTTTGACCATAATCTGTTTCTACCCGCTTTTTTGTGAATAAGTTGCAACTTATTGACTAATTATTTTTCAGTGGTTTATTTTACTATGTCGCTTCTCAATAGTTACATTCAGATTTATACCTGATGCTTCTTTGAATCAAGTGCTTCCCGTGATATTTAATTCCAGTTCTCAGCAGCCTTCTCTTATTATTAATTTACGAGTTTTTTTTAATCAGAATTGATCAATATAATTTCCAATGCTCGTTTTTCAATTTCTTTCTTTTTGTTTCCTCGTCTATGAAATTTCGTATCTGACTCAGTTTTCTCCCCCGTTTTGTTATCTCCTTATCTTGGATCTGTATTCTGACGCTTTCAACTGCTAGTTTTCGATAAGATATAAGTGATCGGTCTTTGCTGATTTGAAATGATTTAATCTTTTGAATATTTCAATCTAATCAGCTACTTGGACTGGTCCTTCTTTTTCCTTTTTTTATTTATGTTGCATCTGATTTTGATTGCAATTCTATTAATTAGCTTCGGAGATCCGAGAACCTGAGTTCTATTTCCTTTTCGCTGCTTGGTGCTTACCTAAAATTTGTAATCTAATACTAAATGTTTGAAAGCATAGAAGAGTAAACATGCCACAATGACATAGTTCAACTGTTCAATATGTGGGAGTTTTTTGTTTATTATTGCATTTATTGACTAGATCCTCATTCATTGAATGCTATGCTTATTCCATGTGTTAATTACTAAAGTAAGAATTTGTTCACTGGTCATATCGGCTGTCTCAAGGTAGTATTCTACTTCCCAAAATTGCAATTGGATGATTCGTTGAAACATGACTACAATTTTTTCTCGCTAGAATATAACTTGACTGCTTTCTTCAAGTTATACTTTTTCATCCGCAACTTAGAGATAAGCTTATAATTATATTTCTGTCTTCAATCACCTTAGCTTTCTTAGGACTCTAGCAATAGAATGAAGTAGTCTGTTTCTGAGCCTCTGTCAAGTAAACTTGACTTGGTTTTATTCTTGTTTTCATGGGTCCTAGAAGGTTGCTGAGTCAGTACCTATGAATTTGCAATTGATTGAAACTCTAGTTTGATTTTTTGTTTGCAACTAGGAGTCTTTGTTTAGCTTATGTGTTAAAGGTATATATAGAGTTGTTCCTAATTATTTTTGGTTTGACCTTTTCAAATCTTCTATTGTAGATGCGATTCCCTGTCGTAAAGCCATGCTCCTGCAAATATATGTTGCAATGAGGGCAATGCCTTGGTATAGTTTGCTTCCAACTCTTTCTGAGTACGTGGTAGAAAATGGATGGACTAAGTGTTTTCCTAGATCAAGTCATGTTGGTTGGCTTGCTTACCTTGTGTATATAACAGTTTATCTAGTTATAGTGGAGTTTGGAATTTATTGGATGCACAGAGAGTTGCACGACATAAAACCTCTTTATAAATATCTTCATGCTACCCATCACATCTACAATAAACAGAACACTCTGTCCCCATTTGCCGGTGAGTACATGATTTACTCAACTAAATGTTAAGTTTGTCAAGTTAATATTACCTTTTCTTTCCTTTTTCATTTCTTCTATCAGAAGAATGGTTGTTGGATAATATCAAATGGAGTTCCATTTCTATACTGAGTTATTTAATTATTGCATTCATCTGCTGTACTAGTTAGTGATATTGAAAGGGAGATTTTTTGAGGTATGATCACCCTGGTGTGAGCTTTGTGAATGTTTTCCTAGGCCAATACCGCAGATAATCATTTTTATTGCACAATTATTATGATGAATGAGAATTTCTTACATGATGCAATGTCAATGCTGTATGTGGTAAATCAGGATTACTTTAGCTTTTAAGTGAAAACAGTTATCTTGGACCTTCATAAGTGACATTTATATACATGTACACACACACGATATTCACAAATAGTGAAGAAACAAGGTTTACAGAGAACCTGATGGTTAAGCAAAAATTGCTTCAAATTGTCTTTAAGCTCTGATGTTTTCTTCATGGCCTTAATCCCCACATGTTGGCTGGAATACGTAAGAAACAAACTGATTTACTTGGAAGAAATGCACAGCTGTTATCCTCTTTAAATGAATACAAGATACCATCTCCCCCCCCCCCGGGGCAGGTGGGCACAGGGGATGAATTTTGGTTATCAGAGGCTAATTATGTTAGAGATTTTGATAAATAAAAATTGAAATAGTAGTGTTTCATAGAGATTGGCTTGTAATTCAATATCAGGGAGTGAAAAATCACTTATCCATGCAATGTTATGAGGAGATTCTGTAATCCGTTAGTTTATATACACGTGTAAAACTCTTTAACTCACGCATTGTTATGTTTGTCTTTTTCTTCTTCTTTAAGAAGCTTATAATTATTAAATTTACTTCATTAGCAATCCATAAATTCATAGATTTCAATTCAACGAAAATGGACTTCATGCTGTACTTTACTAAGAAAATTTATTCTGTTAAATGATGCCAAAAGGTAATGCTCAAAATGCACTGCCACTCGACAGTTTTCTTGCATTTGCTTTTATAAGTTACATCTCTTAATCAATCTTTAGTGTCAAGATCCTGTACACAAACTTTCATAATCTGCGTCACTGCTTTAACATCCGACTTCATCAATGGTTTTACGTCAGCACACTGATATAAGGGTGAACTTACTCCTGGTTTCTTCTTTTTGTTTTCTCCCCCATCTCAGGTTTGGCCTTTCACCCTCTTGATGGGATTCTTCAGGCATTACCGCACACAATTGCCCTGTTTATTGTTCCTACACATTTCACCGCACATTTAGTGCTGGTATTCATTGAAGCCATATGGACTGCAAATATTCATGACTGCATTCATGCCAACTTGTGGCCTGTCATGGGTGCTGGCTACCACACAATTCACCACACTACATACCGGCATAACTACGGCCATTTCACGATATGGATGGATTGGATGTTTGGGACGCTTCGTGACCCTTTGCAAGATGAAGGCAAGGCCATGTGATGGGCTTTACATTGATGGCAAGTGCTTGACTGAAGTAATCATATAGTTCCTCATTGGTTATTTTAACTGGATTGTTGACAAGTAGTTCTTCATATAAGGGGTAAAGATGTCCACGTTATTTGTCTATTAATGTTAGTAAGACAGGGTTTGGAGGTGTAACAGAGGGTTTGCTTGAATGATCTGATCCAATAGACTGTTTAAGCTACGGCATTTTTATTGTTGCGATATTGTCACTGCATTCATTTCACAAATTTGGCTGGTGAAGTTTTAGATTCTTGGGCACCTTTTCATCAACGTGATCTTTGAAGTTAAATAGAACAGATTGTTTGTTAGTAGTTTACCATGTTTTTTGAAATTTAAGTAAAAAGCTAGCTTTGAACTGCAGAGACTACTAAAAGACAGTAGTAATCGTTGATTTCATTGCAAGTATAAGCATGATATTGCTCAATTGCTCATCAAAGATGAGCAAATGATCTAGAGTGGGAACCCGTAGTTTTTTTTTTAGGCCAATAAATCCTTCTTAGTCATGACTTTGTTCATATTGTGAGACAGAGTAATAGTGTTTTGTTTTAGCTTTATTTTTGGAAGATGCTTCTATTTTTAATTCTTTTTATTTTACATGAAATTTTACTTTTCTCCATCAAAATTAAAGCTCGAAAACTAATAATTAGTCTATTTTTTTTGGCCAATAAGCCCTTCTTAAGCATGACTTTGTTCATATTGTGAGACACAGTAATTGTGTCTTGTCTAAGCTTTATTTTTGGAAGATGCTTCTATTTTTCATTCTTTTTATTTTACACGAAAATTTTACTTTTCTCCATCAAAATTAAAGATCGAGAAATAATTAGTGGTTAAAGTGTAAAATGACCTTCGCTAACTTTTAACTTTAAATAGTCCTTAATTTTCATATTAAACTAAGCAAAAAATATTAGATTTGAAAAAAAAAAGTTGTTTCTAGTTTTAGTGATTGATTAAAATTTTACTGTCTTTCTATTCAAAATTTGAATGTATGCTAATTTTATAATCAAACTTGGATTTAAAGGGGAAAACATGTGCCCATATAGTTCATAAAAAAGGGAGAATTGCACTTAGGACTTTCATAAGTGAAAAAATTACACGGCAAGCCCTTTCAATTCTGAAATAATTATTTAGGCCCAAGTGTGCTATTTGCAAATAAAATTTTCACTGAAAAGACTGGAATGCCTCTCGTTTTCAAGTGTATATTCAGATATTTACTACAGATGTTGATTTATTCACAAGTAAAAGTTCACAATAACGAGTTCACATGTTCGGAACATGTTCACATATTTACGCCTACAACTCTACATATTTACAACTCTATGTTTGCACAAGTCTAAGCTCACAATTAACAAATATGTGAATATGTTGTCGTGAATATATACATATGAAGTAGTGAATTTGTAGTAGTAGATATGTGAATATATACTTGTTTTGGGGTATTTTCATCTTTTCAATTAAAATTTTATTTGCAAAGAGGGCCCTTGGGCCTGGACAATAATTAAAAAGGCCTGTCGTGTAATAATTTCACTTCTGAGGACCCTAAGTGCAATTCTCCAAAAAAGAAGTGCCCATTGACAAAAAGCTCTATATGGTATACAATATATTAGGATTGTATAAAAGATTGGATGACACTGAATTTTGACTTAACCTGAAGTTTGGTGTCTTTTATTAAAAGGATTGAGTTAAACAACTTATAGTCTAGTCTTGTACAATAATAATTTAAAGATTAATAGGACTGAACTTGATTCATAGGACTAGGAGACTAGTCTTGTTAACTATTTTTTTTTTCTTTTCCTCTATGAGAGGTAATAATTCATTTCAACCTAATAAATTTAATTAAGATAATAAAATCATTTATAATCATAATAAATCCAAAATAATTTTCAACAACAAGAAAAAAATATTCCAATCACAATTCAAATGATTTAAATTTATAATTTCAACAAAAATAACACTCAATAAATTTTAACAACACTACATTATAACAACAATTTAGAAACAAACTCAATAAATCTTCATATAATCATCTCCTTAGTGTTAATTACATTTGAAGTGTTTTTCAAAAATAAATAAATTAGAATTATATTAAATAAATTAATAGGACTAGACCAAGTGGTTCAAATGTCCAGTTTCTTGTCTAGTCTAACATGAAAAAATAGTCTGTTCTTTTTAATCTTTTTGGTCCTAAGGGACCAGTGTTTATAAGGATCGAACAGGACAAGACCATCTCGAGTTGGATTGGATCAGATCGGATTGAAGGACTTTTGCACAACCCTACAATATACATTAGCCGAACAAATGTACAGAAATATAAATTAAGAATTGCTTGGCAACCACTATTTAACACCTACAATATAAAGTATTGATAACTACTTTATTGTTCTTAAAAAAATGTTAGATGAAACATTAATATATTTAAAATTATAAATTTTTTCATTTATATTCTCATTAAATATTCTATACAAGTGTCTTGATAATAACAATTAAACTTTTAATATATCATTTTTTCCAAAAAAAAGTAAAATAAAGTAGTGGTATAATTGAAAAAGCAATTATAAAAACTAACTGATATCTTATATTTTGAACTAAATAAAGTTTTTAGAAGATATTCTATATTGTGATTTGAAAAGAATATATCATTTGTAAATGATTCAAAATTTATTTACTTGAAAAAGAGAAGAGGGATCTGAAAAGAATTATTCATGATGTGTGGTCGACACCAGATGTTAAGTAGAAATTCCTTTTGTTATAGTAAAATTGATGTGTTGAAGGGAATGGAAAGTTACAAAGCATGATGATATAAGGAGGAACAACATCGCAAGGAAAATGGCTTTTTGAATAGTGGGAATGGTGCAAAGCCGAAGAATCACTAAGCCCACAATAAAAAAAAAAAAAAGCATCCAAAGACTGCAAAAATGAGAAATCAAGGAGAATGATTAAGGATTTGAGGTTAATTATTAAAAACAAAAAAACAGAGAATGAGAAACTCCAATGTATCTTTCCTGGTACCATCTACTCCTAAAAGTGCCTTGCTTGACCAAAAATATGGGGTATTAGGTAGTTTTTTTTAATCATTTTTCTAGATATAGTCCAATTTCATTTATTATCTTTTTGAAACGACAATGCATAAACAGTACTTCCTCTGCCCCGATTTATAAAGTATTTTTTAGCAAAATTATACATACTAATGGAATACATAAAATATAAGTTACAATCTTGATTTTTTAAAAAAACTTTTAACAATATCCTTTATTAATAAGAGAGAAAAAGTGAAGACAATTTATTTAAGTTGTGAAATAATGAGATGTAATAGTAAAATAATTATAATTAATTAAACTTTATTTTTTTCAAAAATCTTATATTTTGGGACACCAAGTTACCTTAAAAAATGTCTTATAAGATACTCCATTTGTCTTTATATAAAATGTATTTTTAACCAAATCTTATATACTAATAAAAATTTTCTATTTAGTTGAAAGCACATCAAAACCATGCTAATTTTTCAGTTTTGTCCCTTATAATGCCACAATTAAGAGCATGGTATTGGGTAAAGTACATGCTTAATATCTCATCTCCTTTTCAAGACAATAAGAGTAATATTGTCTAATTACTCAAAATGATTATAATACATATTATATTTATAAACAAAGTAAGCTTATAGAAAATATTTTAGATATAAGGACAGAAGGAATAATTTCAATTGTCATTATAATTAAAAAGATGTATAATTTTTTTTAAGAAGTTAAGATTCTACTTAATTTTCTTAAAACAGTAAAATATTTATTAATGTGTTATATTGTAATTGAAAAGGAGTAACTTTTACAGCAAATAAGGAATGTTCTGACATATCTTCAAGTTATCAACTGCTTCTAACTCCAGTCTCTGAGCCATGGGAAGATAACTTATGGCTCGACGTAACCATGTGTTCTGAATAGAAATATCCATCAAATTTCAAAAGTTGGAACATCATATGTAAATGCATGCGAGGCCTGGTACATAAGACGAGGCAATATGTATCTGTAGGGATCACTTTCTCTTTTCTCTTTTAGATAAGCAGTGCATCTCTCAACTTCAACTTTAACTTCCTTATACAGTGCTTGAGACTTGTTTTTCTCTCTTAATTCCTGCTCCCTCCCTTTCAGGGGGAAAAAAAAAACCAAACAAACAATATCAACTGTCAATTCAACCACCCAGAATTAACTAATCTGTCAAACGATATTGAATTGTTTTAAAATAATTGAACTTAATTAATTAAGAAGTTGTGTGTACCTTTAGTTTCAATTGGTTTTCCAAAATAATAGTAGAACCGGCCAGGAAATTTGGGCACAATTCCTGGATAATAAATTTGTTGATTTGCCACTTCACCATTAGCATCGCTTCTGGGAAAAAAAAGTGCCAATTTTGTAAGGAATTGGCAATGAAGCAAAAAAGACAGAGGTAAAGCCTTTTGGAGGAGTTGGGGATGTCTCAAATGATTTTTGATACTCAGGTGTAACATCCTAGTTCTATGCGCATTTATTTTATAACCTTCCAATGAATCTGATGAGTGTGCCAAGAAATAATTTAAAGGAATAAGAAAACTTGTAGGGTCTATTTGGTTTCTATTCTTATTTTTTGTTTTTTAAAACTGTTTTATAATACATTTTTGAAAATTATTTTTAAAACAAAAATAAAATAAAAATCTGTTTGGTTATGTAATTTAAAAATATTTTTAGAATAAAAAAAATGAACTGATGGTGATGGTTATAGACAATTAATGGTAAAAATTAATAATAAAAATTAGTCAAGATAACTATAATTTTTAATAATTAAATTAATGTATTTTAAAAATAAAAAATAAAATAAAAACAATTTAAAATTGTTTCTATTTTTTTTTTTTAAAAATAAAAAATGAAAACAGTTTTAGAAACAACTAAATGAAAAACACTTATCAAAAAAAATTTTTAAATTCTTCTATTTTTAAAAATAAAAACATTTTTTTAAAATAGAAAACAAACATATTATAATTTGAGATATTGATTTAATTTTTCAAGTTTAATTTTTGTCATTTCAATCCTTAGTGTTTCATGAACTTGTCTAAATAGTCCTTAACCTTATGAGAGAAATTAACATCGTTAAGTTATGCTGATGTGGCTAATAGAATGATGATGTGACAACCATGTAGATTAATAAAGTGAGAAGCAAGAATGTTGACTTGGATAAGA